GGTGGTTTAGGGGGGTTTGGCAGGGATTCGGGCGAATTTGGGGGGGTTTTGGGGGGATTTTGGGGAATTTTGGGGCGGTTTAAGGGGTTTTAGCGGGGATTTGGGCGAATTTCGGGGGGTTTTGTGCGAGTTCAGGGGAGGTTCAGGGGGTTTGGGGGGGATTTTGAAGGGATTTTAGGGTCGGTTTTGGGGAATTGTGGGGCGATTTTAGGGTCGGTTTTGGGGAATTGTGGGGCGATTTTAGGGTCGGTTTTGGGGAATTGTGGGGCGATTTTAGGGTCGGTTTTGGGGAATTGTGGGGCGATTTTAGGGTCGGTTTTGGGGAATTGTGGGGCGATTTTAGGGTCGGTTTTGGGGAATTGTGGGGCGATTTTAGGGTCGGTTTTGGGGAATTGTGGGGCGATTTTAGGGTCGGTTTTGGGGAATTGTGGGGCGATTTTAGGGTCGGTTTTGGGGAATTGTGGGGCGATTTTAGGGTCGGTTTTGGGGAATTGTGGGGCGATTTTAGGGTCGGTTTTGGGGAATTGTGGGGCGATTTTAGGGTCGGTTTTGGGGAATTGTGGGGCGATTTTAGGGTCGGTTTTGGGGAATTGTGGGGCGATTTTAGGGTCGGTTTTGGGGAATTGTGGGGCGATTTTAGGGTCGGTTTTGGGGAATTGTGGGGCGATTTTAGGGTCGGTTTTGGGGAATTGTGGGGCGATTTTAGGGTCGGTTTTGGGGAATTGTGGGGCGATTTTAGGGTCGGTTTTGGGGAATTGTGGGGCGATTTTAGGGTCGGTTTTGGGGAATTGTGGGGCGATTTTAGGGTCGGTTTTGGGGAATTGTGGGGCGATTTTAGGGTCGGTTTTGGGGAATTGTGGGGCGATTTTAGGGTCGGTTTTGGGGAATTGTGGGGCGATTTTAGGGTCGGTTTTGGGGAATTGTGGGGCGATTTTAGGGTCGGTTTTGGGGAATTGTGGGGCGATTTTAGGGTCGGTTTTGGGGAATTGTGGGGCGATTTTAGGGTCGGTTTTGGGGAATTGTGGGGCGATTTTAGGGTCGGTTTTGGGGAATTGTGGGGCGATTTTAGGGTCGGTTTTGGGGAATTGTGGGGCGATTTTAGGGGCGGTTTGGGGAATTTTGGGGCGATTTTAGGGTCGGTTTTGGGGAATTTTGAAAGGATTTTAGGGTCGGTTTTGGGGGGGATTTTGAAGGGATTTT